TAAAACTTCCCGCAAATGCTCTTTTTTGGCACAAAATTCGACATTTGTAAGTGTAAAAATATCTAAGATGTTAGTACCTTCAGAAAATTTGACATATGAAGTTTTGAAGCCTGTTGTCAATACAACAAAATAGCATACATATCAAATCGCATATATATCAACATGTGTAACTCCATCTATTGAAAAAAAATCTGCATTATTAACCGGTACACCTGGTATGTCTATTACTTCCATATACTAAAAACAAGTGAACATGAAACTGATGAGTTTTTCTCCCCAAATTACTTAAGTCCTGTAATTATACAAAATGTCAATTTTGAGTTTATTTGGTAAAAATAAAGAATAAGTAAGTCAACTGAGAAAGAACTTATTAAATTGATTAAATCTATCTGGACTTACTAAACTGATTCCATGTATTAGTGAGAAATGTAATTACTTCTTCACAAACATTACACAAAATCTGACACCTGTAACTAGTAAATACTTAAGACATTGAAAAAATTCATAGTATCAAAGAATGAACAAATCATAGGAAAAAATTTTATGAATTAAAAATTTACCTGTTGCAGATCAACAATGTTTACCCGACCTTTAAAAAAAAAAAGACATCCATTTATTTTTAATTATGTATACGTACACACAAGCCAGAAACTGTAAATTCTAATAGATTTACATTTTGGACAGTCAAAGTCCTCCTCCTACAAAAGACATATGGCTGCAATAATAATAAACCATTAGCTGTGTAAGTCTTCATGCTTATAATTTATTTTCAATGTGTCACACCATTTGTCACATCAGGCCAATTACAAGCATCAACTGATATACAAGTTGACCAGACCTATGAAGGCTATTTATCTCCCTTCACAATTATCTACTGTGACCAAAGAGATATTGACAACTAAATTCAGATGAACTTTTTTCAATTATTTAAAATTGGTAGACTCACATCCATTAGAAAAAGAAAATCTGTTAAGTATTCTAAATAATAGCTAATATTTTATGAGTACTATGCAGGAAAATAAAGAAAACAAGCAAGGAGGGTATATGTCAGGGGTGGGCAAACTTTTTGACTCGAGGGCCACAATGGGTTCTTAAACTGGACCGGAGGGCCGGAACAAAAGCATGGATGGAGTGTTTGTGTGAACTAATATAAATTCAAAGTAAACATCATTACATAAAAGGGTACGGTCTTTTTTTTTTTTTTAGTTTTATTCATTTCAAACGGGCAGATCCGGCCCAGGCCGTAGTTTGCCCACGGCTGGTATATGTGATAACATCTAATGAAGAGTTGTTTTCATAGTTCTTTTCTATTTTAATCAGCATTCAAATTAGCTCTGTAGTTTGTACAAATTTTTAAAAGACAAAGAAAAACAAAAACTGTGCGTGCTTGTTTTCCTACAATAAAATATGTGTAGCATCATACTGAATTGTTTCCTAATTTGCAACTACTTAAAGGTAAGTTTTAATAAAAAGGCATGGTAGCACAGCTTTGGTTTTCAACAACCTATAATCCTTTAAAATCTGTTTCCCCTTCATAATTACCACTCTAATAGGCAGCTAAGTACCTTCCCCTGAGTCATGCAATAAATTCAGGAACTGTGAAAAGAAACAACTGATTGAGTCACACACAGACATATAACTCAAAATATTAATGTTATTTTGTAAAATGACACTATCTGACTTCATTTAAATTATATGATCATGTTTACCTGAATCAGCTCAAATATTAAGGCTGTAACCATATAGACAATTGAGATGGGTGTCTTAAAACCTCAGAATAATTTATTATTCATGGTTTTAAGGGGTTTTTTTTCCCTTCCTAAAATCCAGAAAGGAAAAAAAAAAAAAAATACTAAGGAATTACTTACCACCTCGGATATGTAGCTCATCTCTCATTTCTTTACTAATTTGGGCCGGAGTAACATATTCCTTGCCATCAAGTGTATGAACTACTTCTAGCTGTTTCTGAGCAATCAATTTAGTCACAATCTCAATGCAGTTCCGCTCTGACAACCTGAGGGAAACAATAAGTTTTTAAAATTCACTTGTTACAGTTGGTGCTCAATAAAATTAAAATAATGTACGAAGAGGGGCTTTTTAAAAGTAAAAAACAACTAACGTTTGGGTAAAGAATCATTAGGCTTTATATTATAATATCTCTACCTTTTATTAGTATAACGATACTAATTCAATGAGTTAAAAAAACCCCAGCAGCACTTGAGAGTAGTAAACAGGTTCTCGTGCCCTTAAGTCATGTACCTAATTGGTACAAATCACTCTATCATGGATTTCAAGTTTGCTCTCTCCTAAGCCAGCTTCTAATGCGGAAATCTGAATAGGAAGGTGAGGACGCATAATTTAGGTAGAAAAAACCCTGGCACTTCATACAGTGGGTCCGCAGGCAGATCTGGCCCAGGGAAACCAGAACTGCAACCCTTTGCCACGCAGGCTCTGAAGCCCAGTGCGCGTCCTGGTTTGCTGTGTGCTGCAAAATACAGCATCAAGGGATTAAGGTCTTCGGCCCCAGAAGGAACAAAAACATCAATGGCAAGAAACAGACAATGGCTGCAGGAGGATTCTATTAGCATTGCACGTGTCCTGTTAAACAAGCAGAGTTAGGGCGCTCCGGACACATCCCCCCAAACGAGTGGCTTGGTAGGAACGGTCAGCACCCAGGAGGCCCTAAAATGACAGACGGGGCCACGGGGCTGGCCTGGCACCTCTGTTCCGCTGGGCAGAAAGGCAAAATGTCTCTTAAGGGTCAACACAGTATTTGCAAAGTACTGTGCGAGGGGGTTACCCTCGCCTCTCGCGCTCTTTCTAGGTCGGGAACTGCACAAAAGGCGATGATGCCACACTGACCGGATGGCACGAAGGAAGAAAGGGACACGAAGGGAGCTCCCAGCCCGCAGCCCGGGCCCCGTGGGGGCGGGGCGCGCTAGCACTAGGCTGGGGCATGGCTGGGGGATCGGAACACAGGTTTGGGGTTTCCGGGCCAAGAACTACACTCGGAACCACCACCCCGGCTCGAGGAGTGGGGGTGAGACGGGGATGGCGGCAGAGGCTGGGAAAGTCCGAGGTCAGGGTCCAGGGACTAGTGGCCTCGGATCTTGGGGGTGGCCACCCAGGGGCTATTTTGGACGCCCCAAAGGAGAGGGAGGGTCGGGCACCTCTGCGTGGCCTCGGCGAACTGCGCCCGCTGGAAGTCGGCCGCCAACCGCCTAATCTC